GTAAAATAAGGACCCAGATTGTTGGGGGCACAATATGTTAACTCTGTAAACCGCTTAGAGAGTGTAGTAAAGCGTTATGAAACGGTATATAAGTTTAAGTGCTATTGCTATTGCTATTTGAATGCTGACCTAGATTATAAATGTTCTAAAAGCATCAGACAATATTTAGATGGTAATGATGAACAGAAACAAAATATTCCAGTAGATCAGGGGTATCAAACTGCCAGCCCGCGAGCCAGATGCATCACCAGGAAACCATGCCCACCCCATTGCCAGCAATGGAGAAAAAGCTCTGATATGTCGTGTGACGTCACGTGACATCGCGAGTTTGACATGTCTGCAATAGATCATAATATTCCCTTTTAATATAATGTCTCTAGAGATTCTCAGTCATCCAGGTCATGGTTGTCCCAAAGATGCTTTTTCAAGAGGCAACTGGACTTTCTTGTTTTTTTCTTAGAAGACGTTTCGCTTCTCATCCAAGAAGCTTCTTCAGCTCTTTTTAATATAATCTTTTAATTCACATGCCTTTCTCTGCATAGCTCATTTACATGCCTTAAGCATTTAACTTAATGCAGCTGTTCTCAACTAGAGATCTCCAGATGCTTATGCAGGGGTCTTCAAACTTGGCCCTTTTATGACTTGTGGACTTCAACTCCCAGAATTCCTCAGCCAGGCACGCTGGCTGATGAATTCTGGGAGTTGAAGTCCACAAGTCATAAAAGGGCCAAGTTTGAAGACCCCTGTGCTAATGGTTCACAGCTCCCATTCTCACCAATCATTGTCTCCCTGACTGAGATTATGACAAAACTCTATGGATCATAATTTGGAAAGGCCGCCTCAGTCTCCCGTCTAGATCATTGCTCACGGTTATTGGTGTGATTTTTTTCTTCAGTTTACTCATTTTTTCCTTTATTACTTTAAATTGAATTATTACGTTGGGTGTCTTTCATTGGAGGGCAATCTATGCATTTATTATAGCAGAGAACAGTTTATTGCTCCATAATTAGTTTTGTTTTATACAGTTTTAAATAGATATTGTGAGGATGGTAGTTTGTAGTCAGAATATTTACTCAGATCCCATTTTAAGAGGAGATGGATATTTTGTTTTTAACTTGAGAATGCACTTGTAGATCAAGAAGATTTCAGAGATATTTCAAATTTTTCTTGGTTGCTTTGAGGATAACTTAAAAAAAATAACCTACACATACTAGAATACTACATTTCCTTCTTTTTCTGTTTCTTTCACACTTAGATTCAGCTAAGACAGTGTTGGAAGACACTAATGTCAAAACCCAGCTCTTCAATCTTTCTGCTAGTGTCAGCTTCTCCTATGCTAATCCTACTTGGAAACTCTTCCTGCGGAAAGAGGTGTGTCATGGTCCTACCTCCTTGCATTGCTTTTCCTGTCACGCTTAGTTATTAAAATTAGCATCTCTGATTGTTCAGCATGTCCATCTGTAGTGACAGCATCTCCCACAGTTTGGAGTCTTGGTGGCTAATCCTCTTGCAGCTCCCATTTTGCAAAATGTATTTGGATAATTTCAATACCTTCTGTCCTGTATGCTTATTATGGACGTTATGCTTAGGGTTAATATGAAATCTGGGATGGCTGCACATGGATTATTATATCATGAGTAGTCATCAATCGTGCAGGGTTGAGATGGGTGTAGTGGTAAGGCTCTGGGCTACAAACCAGGATACTGTGAGTTCTAGTCCTGCCTTGGGCATGAAAGCCAGCTGGGTGACTTTGGGCCAGTCACTCTCTCTCAGTCCAACCCACCTCACAGGATTGTTGTGCTGGGGGAAATAGGAGGAGGAGGAAGCATTCTCTGTGTTTGCCACCTTGAGTTATTTATAAAAAGAATAAAGGTGGGATTTAAAAAAATCTAAAACAATGAGGCTAGGATGATGGCAAAAGAGTTACCCTGTGGTAAGATGGGTGGCCAATACATTTGATAAATAAGAATAATAAATCATAAATGGAAAAAAATGGAAGCTTTTTTAATTACAGTGTGAAAGCATATAATAACCCACTCACTGTGATGAAGATTAATATAAATTGGTTAGCAGCAGCATGTCTGATTGTATGACTGGCTGGAGAAGAGCAGCATTCAAAAGGAAAGGATGACTTCAATTACTTTTCCTATGCCAGGACAGAGTTTTGTGTCGATAAGCCACTATTTCTCCCCAAAATGAAATACATATTGTCTTCACTCAGTGAATTGCATTTGAATATATTAATGTACACAATCACTTGCTATTTTGAGTCATGATTTTATTCTTTGCATGTGCGAAAATAACTTTGTGTTGGATCTCTTCCTCAATAGGTTTTTTATCCCAGGGAAAATTTCAGTCATCCTTACTGCTTGAATTTGTTATGTGACCAGGTAAGTATTTTGTGTGTGTGTATGTGTGTGTGTGTGTGTGAGAGAGAGAGAGAGAGAGAGCGCACATATGTGTGCATGAAAGATAAGAGAGACTCACTTTTCTTTTGGACATCAGCCTCCGCATCAAGGACTCCATCTTTTATCTTTTTTCTTCACTATGTGAAGAATATCAAAGAATATACAGGTAGTCCTTGACCGATGACCCCAGTTGAGCCCAAAATTTCTGTTGTTAAGTGAGACGTTCATTTAAAATGTTTTTCCCCATTTTTACAACCTTTCTTGCCACAGTTGTTAAGTGAATCATTGCTGTTAAGTTAGTAAGACAGTTGTGAGGTGAATCTGGCTTCCCCATTGACTTTGCTTGTCAGAAGGTCACAAAAGGGGATCACATGACCCCCCTGGGACACAGCAATGGTCATAAGTATGAACCAGTTGCCAACCATCTGGATTTTGACCACATGGTCATGGGGATGCTACAAAGGTCGTAAGTGTGAAAAATGGTTCTAAGTCACTTTTTTCAGTGCCGTTGTAACTTTGGACGGTCACTAAATGAACTGTTGTAAGTCGCGGACTGTCTGTACCTGGTTTACTCCATATGCTGTGTCTCAAAGCTTGACACTTGCATTATAACTGTTATGAGTTGAAATTGAAATCCATTTTTGTCCCTTCCCAGATCTTGAGGGATACTTACTCCGAGTCATGCATTCGAATTTCCAAAGAGGAGAGGCGCAAAATGAAAGACCTGTTAGGTAAGGAAGCCAGCCATGTGTCCTTCCTGGTCCTCAAATATCTAAAAGTGAAGAATTATTTTGCATTCTTTTATTCATTAGAGTTATGGGAACTGTTATAAGTTTGATCATGTTCTGCCCTCATAATCTGTTACTGAACCCACTACGGTTCTCCTGCTAAAAAAAATAAGCCACTTCTAAAAGTTCCTCACTCAGTGATAACTGACTTTCGGGACTGAAATAATTAGCAGCTATGTGCCAGATGAATTCCTGTTCACTCCCAAGGTCCAGATGTTCAGGGCTCTCCTTCCATTCAATAACATCGAGGCAACCCAACTGCTCCCTTCCTTTGGAAGACAGAACTGCCAATGGCACAGAGGTTATTCTCCACCCCTGTTCCTTTGGGTACCTTGGAGAGCATTATTACTCTGCATCATTTCCATCAAAAGAAGATTCAGGTGCCAATCTAACTGCTTTCTGGACATGGCAACATGGCATTATGTTTTTCTTGGGCAATACAATCTCCTTCCTGCAAATCATTCTTCAGCATCCCCACTCCAGAGAGGTTGAGAAGAGGTAGCGTTGCTGTGCATAACCCAAAGAAATGCTGGTGCACAAGTATAACAATCCAGAGTGCTTCCTGCTACCCACTTTACATGCACATATCCCAAACTTACCTGATCCAACCTAATCTCACTGCAGTTACAGTATACAGGATAATGCCCTGTTATGCAGTCCTACTTTTTCCAAAAGACAAAATGTCTTAGAGCAGTGCTATCAGGATTTGTTTCTTTGAGGTGAATTTGCACTAGAGTTTTGAAATGTTTATTTGCTTGATTTGCAAACATCAGCGGAAGCAAACAAGCACTTCTAAAAGGCAGGATGAACTTCAGGAAACAGTAGGGGTAGCCCTCTGAAGTTGCGCCCACCGTTTCACTTAGAACCTTGCATTTCTTTCTTCTCCCTTCGGCCACAAAATTGCTAACTTTCACATGCACAAGCCTTAGCTTGTTTCCTTTTGCTGGACCTTGCCTCCTGTTCCAGATTCTGATGGATTCTTATTCAAAAAAGAGGAAAGATTCTCAAGTACCATGGCCATTTCCAACCACAAATTCCCCATATAATCAAATGCTTTAGATTATTAAAACAATCTATTTGATGCGAATTAAGGGACTATGACCAACTGCAACAGAAGGCTCTCTAATGCTGGCTGTAGAACATCAGATCCCTGCTTGCAGGCTGCCCTTGGAAAAAGTGCACTCTTTTTTTTAATTAATTTTTTATTAATAATACAAAATTAAAAACACATTGGACATAGATATGACATCACTGGTTCCATACATCTTCCAACATTTTACAATAGTATTAGTACTCAAATAGACATATAGTTCTTGAACTTTGTTCACTATTTATAATATACTATTAACACTTTTCCCCTTATTTCTATATATCTATTTATCTTTTAAATATACATTTGTCTATAATCTATATTTTATTCTAGCACTATACATTTATCTTACCCTCTTATTGTCTATTCAATCATAAAATTGTTCCCAGATTTTATAGTACTTGGTTTCACTTTTGTCCTTGAGTTCCCATGTAAATCTATCCATTTCAGCGCAATTGAAAATTTTCAATATTTCCTCTTCAATTGGAGTATCTTTCTCTTTCCATTTCTGAGCGAAGGCTATTTGTGCCGCTGTTACTATATGTAGTAGTAAATAATTTGGAAACAGCGCACTCTTTGATGTGCTTCCTAAAGTATGCTAACTTGAGTCATCTCTGAGGTTTGCTTCCATCAGGGGAAATGATCCCTAGCCTGAAGCCCTGCTGATTAAACTTTTCCTTTATATTGTTGCCGTCAGCCAAATTCCACGTGGGCATGGATGTCAGCTCCATCACAGAAGAAGGGATCAAGAAAAAAATTGTGGTGGCTGCTCGTGATAACTGGGCCAGCTATTTCTCCCGCCTTTTCCCAGTAAAAGTAAGTTAGCCTTACCTCAGCCTTCCATAACTTGACACTTCTGTTACCGTCCTTCCACTAAGATTCAGGGGTTTCTTTCCCCTCAGGGCTTCAGCTGTTATGGGTAAATCGGTTATAGGGCAGCCCTCTGAACCAGGATCTCTGCCCCATAGAGGTTGCCTGTGCAATGAAGGCTGACATTGTTGAAAAACTGACCTTGAGTAGGTAGACTGTGTGGGAAAGCTTTAGCACACCAGGAAGTTTTCAGCTATCAGGTTTAAGCCAATCTCCAGAAAAATACTACTATTTGTTTGTTGTCCTATTTTTTTTGTCATCTCAAGGCAGTGTTCATACCTAACGCTCCCACCTCCTAATTTCCTCACAAGAACTTTGTGAGGTGGGCCAGACTGAGAGAGAATGACTGGCCCAGTCACCCACCTGGCTTCCTTGCCTAAGGGAGGACCAGACATCAAGGTCTTTAGCCCAGCACTTTAGCCACTGCACCACACTGGCTGTCATTTTTATTATTTAACTGGATTCACCCTTTTATGCTAAGCTCTACTTTGTTTAAGTATAGTCTATACTAAGACTAAAGCATTATGGTTGGATTTCCCTGTACTGCTGAGCCAAGCCAGATAAGCTACATTTTGTTTTCCTCACCTGGAGTTTTTTTTTCTTGTCCCATCATCTCATTTAATCTGGATGGGTAAAACTGCAAAACTCAGAATGAAAATAGGTAAGGTTTTTTGTTTTTGTTTTTGTCCTATTTTCGGGGGAATAATTTGTCAAGGATAGACCCGGCCTGCCTCTTTTTGTGTTCTTCTTTCTTTTGACCCAGTGGCCTGAAACAGAGCAAGAAGCTGTAGTTTTCATCCATCAAACATTTAGTCCAAAGAGACCAACTCTTCAGATTGTCCACTACTAAAGCAACTGCTCCCCCTCTCACAAACGTTTCACTGCTGCCTGAGCAAACCATGGGAACGTTTTGTCAACCATTTTGTTGCTGCTGTCTGTTCCCTTCCTAATAGGGAGAAAATGGAAGCGATGTCCAAATACTAGGAGTTTCTCACCGGGGTCTGCAGCTGTTGAAGAAACCCAAAGAAGCCAGTTTCAGTCCTGAACATTTGAAGATCCTTTGCAGCTTCAGGTGAGAGGCAACAAAATCCATGCATAGAACTGTTTGCTAAATTCATGAAGAAGGCCATTGCCTCCTTGGCAGTAGAATACCATGAACCCACTCTAGGCTCCCTGGCAAAGATATAAACAAATGCTGAGTGTGGTTACAGCAATTAATGCAGGTGAGTTGGAGAACATCAACATCAGCTTGGCAAAAAAACTCCTTTATGACCTGATTTTGCACAGCACATTAATTCCCAACAGACTTCTAAAAGCATATGACTTTTTATAGCTATACCGAAGCATTTCATTTCTTCTTTTGAGTTCTTTTTTTATTCCTTACCCTACTTGATTTCATGCTGGTGAGCAGGGCCTATTTTAGTCCTCTGCATTACTTAACTATTTGATAAACTTTAGATAGTTTGGTTTGATAAACCAAAACAACATACATACGTACAACTATACGTATTCAATTAAAAAAAACTCGAATGTTTCCATATTCCCATTAAAATACAAAATAAAACAAGTTTTGCTCTGCTTTGATCTTCTCATTCAATTCATGCTTGATTCACTTGTCTGAATCATTTTGAGTTATTCAACCTGCTTTTTTTTTTGCTGCAGCACCACCTGGTCTAGATTGCATTGGGGCAGATTAGAGAGATCAACAAGTACAGGTTTATAACTTGATAAAAGGGGAGAGCAGATGACCTTTGTCTTAGTACTTTTTGTGCTAGTAGATTTCAGGTATCATTTGAGAGTTCAGAAGGCATGTCCTAACAAAAACTATCCCAGTAGGCTTAGTAAAGTAGCTGCAAAAGAACTAAGCCAAGGATGATAGCCAAACAAGCCAGGGAATACACGTTCTCTGATTTTTTTTTCAGTTATGCAGATGTCCTTTCTTTGGAGCTGATCAGTCGGAATGTCCTTCAGTTCTGTCTGAAGAATGAGCAGCTCATACTTCATTCTCAAAGAGCTCAGCAGATCAAGGCCACAGTGGAAATCTTCCTGAAAGAACTGAAACAGGTAAGTACAAGATCATTGTGCAAGTCATGAATCTTTATAGGCTGATTTTAGAGGGATTGTACAGGTACCCTATCTATTTCCCCAAATACTAATAGTCCTTCACTTACGACCACAACTGAGCCCAAAATTTCTCATGTTAAGTGAGACATTTGTTAAGTGAGCTTTGCCCCATTTTATGAGCTAACAGTTAAGTGAATCGTTGTGGTTGATAAGTTAGTAACATGGTTGTTAAGTGAATCTGGCCTCCCCATTGATTTTGCTTGTCAAAAGGTCGCAAAAGATGATCACATGACCTTGGGACAGAGCAACAGTCGTAAGTGTGAACCAGTTGCCAAGCATCTGAATTTTGATCACATGATCATGGGGATGCTGTAATGGTTGTAAGTGTGAAAATAGGTCACAAGTCCCTTTTTTCCAGTGCTGTAATTTTGAACAGTCACTAAATGAACTGTTGTAAGTCGACGACTACCTGTCATTTCAACCCCTTACCTCTGTTTTTCCTCTCCCATCCTTCCAAAAGGATTCCAACTACGTCATTGCTATACGTAACTATGTCACAGATGACAAGAGCCTCTTAAATTTCAAGAAAGGTGACTTCATTCGACTACTTCCCATGAAGGGGCTGGAGCCAGGTAAGAAAGATTGAGTCCAATGTATCCTCTTTCAACCTCAAAATATCCCTTGTCAAGAATGAAGCAGCTGCTTCAAAGACTGCAAATTACAGTACATGGTTTTGAGCATTTTAGAATTTCATGTTCGAAACAAATCTCTTATCTCCTTCTGAGCTCACACACACAATATCTCTTGCCCTGCTGTCTCGCACTCGAAACAAAGAGTTTCAAGCTCAGAACAGGGTGTTTCATATTCAAGTATGTCTGCATTTGTTGAAAGAGTCCTTAGACATTACTGAATCCTTAGCAATGCGCTTGTCCATCAGGAACTCAATTCTGTGAAATCATCCAGCCACAAATAACTAATATTAAGAGTCCACAATGACAACACACACACACATACACACACACTATTGCTTCGATCAGACAAGAATATTGATTAGCTAATTTGAGTGACACAGTTCTCAATAGCTATGCTGATTAAAGAATTCTGGGGAGTTTCCAACTCACAAAGCAATAGCATATTCAGGATTGGAGAGAGGGAGACTGTTCGGACAGTCTATGGGAAATAAGCTGCAAAGATAAGATAACTTTTGTTGTTATTTTTTTACTATGAGCACACTGGCCCACGTTAAGAATGAAAAATGCTCTCAAAAGAAGTATATATATACCCATACACATACATAACACACATATACTGTACATCTCTCTCTCTCTCTCTCTCTCTCTCTCTCTCTCTCTCTCTCTCTCTCTCTCTCTCTCTCTCTCTCTCTCTCTCTCTCTCTCTCTCTCTCTCACACACACACACACACACACACACACAGAGAGACATATTTATGTGGATGTTTGATTTATGTGTGGCCTTTGGCTGTAATAAATTTATATATATATGTGTGTGTGTGTGTGTGTGTGTATACACACATATACATATAAATATTAATCACTATCCATTTTGAAAACATAGCAGAAAGAGGAAGCCTGAGAGTTCACAAGGCTGGTGCTATATGGAACAAACTGTGACTGAATCTAAAGACCATGTAAGTTAAAGTTGGCCAGCCTAATTTCAATCTTTTCTGTTCAGGTTGGCAGTTTGGCTCTATTGGTGGGCGCTCTGGCCTTTTCCCTTCCGCAATGGTGCAGGTTGTGGCAGCTCCCAATTACCTCAACCTCCACATGAATCAACAGGAAGAAGCCCGAACAGGCTGGAAGAAAAACACACAGGAGAGAATAGCTAACAAGGAGGTGAGGGTTCAAGCAGAGACCAAGGGGATTAGTGATGCAAGAAAGTGAAGGGAGGAGACTATGTTGTTGCTGAAGAAACGCAAACCATCGGCAGAGATTGCAGAGTATGAAGAAGACTACGCAAGAGATGGAATATGAATATCACAGGATGATTTTTTTTCTCACTATCAAGAGTACCAGTTCTCTGATGACTGATTTTCTATCTCTTCAGAACTCTGCCCCCAGCACAGAGTCAGAAGTTACCAGGCCTAGCACACCTGTAAACTCTCTTGATATTTGCCACTACACTATGACGGAGTTTGCGATGGCCCATTTCCGAGAAGCCCAATTCATGTAGGTATTCTGTAGCAAAACCCCTTTAAACATACACTATTGCAATCTACTGTTTCAGTTTAATTGCTAGCTGTGGCCCCCTATGTATTTCTTATGTGATCATGTGGGAAAAGATTCTTTGTTTGATGGTTGTAACCTTGTTCATACGTGTTGTGTGCAAATATTCAGACATTATCTAGGTGATGTTAATTAATTTCTTGTTTTAATGAAAAGATATACAGTAGGTTAAACAGACCAATGAATAATAATCTGGGACTGTGCTTCCCATTCCTTTATCAATACAGGGAGGATCTGCACCTTGTGGAAAACCCTTTGTGTACCACTGTCAAGTTTATTTGGGCACAGGTGTTTTTTTTCTCCAAACCTTTTTCTTATATATACTTTTGGGGTCTTTTGTTTCTCAGAGTCTTAAGGCACATAGAAGTAGTTGAACCTTCAGTGATGCCTCAGACATTGCAATTCTGAATTACATTTTCATTAATAATACACATTGTGGAAAAATAAAGGTATCAGCCAGCTAAAAAAAGAACATACAAAGGAAAGAATACTTTTAGCACCTTTATTCCTCTCCAGATATCTTGAGGAAACTGAGCTGTTGTTCTATTATTACTTGCAAACAAGGTACTTTTTTCCTATCCAACTGAGAATTGAAAACTCATATCTTTGGGGATCTTCATGGGATTAACTACATTGTCAAGGATAGATATATTCATTCAGTCATATAAAATAGCCTTCTGATCCTCCTCCTGAAAAAGATTTCCTATCCCAGAGATAGAGTGGGACCAGGGTTTTGAATGGGCCGGTGATCTATTTGGAAGACATTACTATGCTGTCAAAATGATCAGAGAAGCTACATCGATTCTTAGCTGCTCAGATATATTTTCCCCAAGACTCCTTCTGATTCATCAACTCTACTGGAAATCTTTCGTGGCAGGAATGCTTTTCAGTTCAAAGGTTTAGAAGCATGTGACAAAAATGTTCTTTGCTTGGCTAGCTGAAGTTTTGCTAATTTACTGATTAGAAATAACTGGGTAATTCTGGAAAAATGTCCCAATGAACTTCCACATTTTTTACAATATATGGAAAATACTGGCTGTGTACAAAATTGCCATCCATTACAGCCAGCAAGTAATTATACGCTAAAGAAGCATCTCTCCTCCTCTCCTCTCCTCTCCTCCTCTCTCCTCTCCTCTCCTCCCCTCCCCCCTCCCCTCCCCTCTCCTCATGATTTATCTCAAAATAAATATTTTTATATTTCATTTCTATGCATGCACCCACAGCAAACACACTCCCAGGTGTATTCTCCATAAATTATTATGCTTCATCCTGTTAAATTTCAACCAAATCTCAATTCTTAATTCTTTTTCCACCATTTTGTTTAGTGGAATCACTCTTGATGTGCTGTAATCAGTTCTTTTTAGTGTATTTATTTAATCTGCAATGTTTCGTTTAACGTTTGATTTGTTATAATCACCTATGTATAATAGCCTTATACAGTATCTGCCTTTTATATATTTAAAATATATGTCAATAAAGAATTAAATGTTGAAAAAAGCATGTGGACGTTTTAAATAAACAGCGCACTGAGGTTCATGGAGCTAAGACACAGATTGTCAGGTGCTGTCCCAATCTGAGAGGAAGCATGTCTGCTGATAAGACCAAATCACAGACTATTGAGGAGCTTAAAGCATATATAAAGGGATGTCTTCATCTTTGACTCATGCAGAGATTTTGAATACTTATCATGATTAGTAAGATAGCATTTTCTAGATATGATGCCCCTCAGAAATGAGCCTGAGTCTTTGAAATCCTTTGTCGTGATATATCAAAGAGGATGTTTTAAATGTTTTGGAATCTCAAAACACCCATGTTCCAATCAAAGCAGCTATTTTTGAATTTGAAGCACGGTGTTTCTTACTTGAAATGGGGGTTTTGAATTTCAAATGGTTTTGTGTATTCTTTTTCCCTTCCAGCACACCTGCTCTAGTTTTAAGGATGCTTTGAAGTCTTCTCTATTAATAACTCCATCGGCATCATAGCTTTTGTCTTCATTGCAGGTTTACAAAATAAAAAGTGATGTGATCTGCTCTGAAAGCATAGCTATTGATCATTTTATTTTATATTTCGCTCCAGAAAGCTTAAGATACCTTACATAATTACATTTCCTCATTAACAGGTGGATAGCATTTCCCTAAGTGGGGCAAACCAAAATTTGTTTTTCAGATAGAAGAAACCATGTTTGCCTTGCTAGAGGATTTTAGATTGGCACGCCTACCAGTTCACTTAACTAGTTCAGGTTTAGCTAATGCTGGTAAGATTGGTCACAGTTAGATAAGAGCTATTGTAGTATTTCTGAGTTCCAATTAATCTAAGAGGCTATTTACATTGGTCAGTTAAGCCTGTGCTGTTAGAGAACAAGGTATTTCAGAATCCCAACTTTTCATAAAAAGTTCATGGAATTAGTCTTACTGAGCGTCTAGCAATATTAATAATTTTAATTAATAAGTAAATTAAATAAATATTAATTTAAATGCATTAAATTATTAATTAATAATCGTTAATTTTAGAGCTTTTTCATTTCACAAAGGCAGAATCAGGTGAGTTGGGTAAATGGAAAGATCGTCTGCCACAAAGACCAGTTACTCCTGGCAGACTTGTCAAGTAAATATTATGTAGCAAAGAAGGATTGAGAATAAGCTATCAACCATTTCAAGGACTGATAGTAAGGTAAAGATGTATGGGGCTCAAGATGCAAAGCACGTTCCTTAAGAGTGGGGAGTGGGTTTTCCTGTCTTCAGCACCCAAAAGAAAATAATGGAATGATTGTGACTTACTGAGCGTGCTCAGAGGTCCTTCATTGTTTAACACCTCCTGAGCTTCATTAGCAAGAAAACCTGAATGGAGCAGAAAGCTTATTAAAACAGTACGCAATATAATAAAAACAATGAAGCTGCATCATTAAAATAAAAATAGAGAAGGTACCAAATACTGTACTTATAGTCACACAAATCTATCGCATAGATGGACTTCCATCTCCTTCCCAACAAAGCTTCCTATTTTTTACATGCCCTATTTATTCTTTCAGGGTGGAGAAACATGTATGCGGCTGATCATTTCTACTGAGTATTTTAAACCAAATGTTAAAAGTTTTTAATTTAAAGATGTTTGGGTCTAAAGATGTCCTGGGAATTGTGTTAGCCCTTTAGCATAGATGTAAGTTATTGCCTTGCAAATTGATTAGAGCTCATATAGACCATACTTCAAAAATCATGAGCACAGATGGCTGCTTTCTAGCATGTCAAGCTGCATATGATTGATACGTTCCTTACAAAGGTATTTTGGTATTAGCATAGCTTATTTTGTGAGTCCAACAATGTTGATTGTTCAACAAACTCTGCTAAGCAAAATACGGCTAATGGTAGTGTATGATTCCAGTTGTTATATTTGATTTTATAAAGAACCCTTCTCTTTTAATTCTAGACCAGGGGTCTTCAAACTTGGCCCTTTTATGACTTGTGGACTTCAACTGCCAGAATTCCTCAGCCAGGCATGCTGGCTGAGGAATTCTGGGAGTTGGAAGTCCACAAGTCATAAAAGGGCTAAGTTTGAAGACCCCTGTTCTAGAGTCTCTGCCAAAAACTGTTCACATATGCTACCTGTTTGGGGGAGGGGGTGGTGGTAAAACACAAGTAACTAATCTGGAAAAGTGAGGGGTAGAACCTGAGACCTTCTGCAAATCATTGTATGTTTTTCCACTGAGCAAAAGTTGAAGCTAGGAATGAGCACGTGCTAAAGGTTGGAGCATCTCCTGTGGCTTCCCATGATTCATTTTGTAGGTAACAAAATCCCCATTTTGTGTTTCTGCTAGGCTAGGATGGAAGGGCATGGGAGTTGAACAGATGGACCCCGCTCTCTTGGTTCAGCATACGAAGGTAAATCAGGAGGACTCCTCCTGTCTGGGTTCCTCCTCCTCTTTGTCATTTGGGGTATAGAAAGTTAAAAGATGGGTAAGGGGCAGAAGTCTTGTTTTTTAAAAAATATTTGTATTAAAAGTTCTAAAAAAGGAGAATAAAAACAAATACAAATTTATATAACATAAGAAAGTAGAAAAGAAAAAGCAATCAAAGAGAAAGTTAAAAAGGCAAGAAAGGAGAAAAATCAAACTAGAAGAGAAAGGAAAAAAGACACAAAGAAGTCACTGCCCATCTTCATTACAGCAGTTATAAGTACAATTCTAAATTTGCTTCTTTCTCTAAAGTTACAAAAGTATTCTTTATATAATCTATATTCTGTCTAATAATCAAAACTATAAATCGTAAGTTTGGTTTTTTTTGTTTTGTTTTCTGCACGACATCTGTAAGGGCTTTGCAGTCAGCAATAAATGTAGATGTTGTCGTTTCTCTAATTGACAGAAGTTTTATTTTCGATACCTGAATATGCAACCTGAACCCAAACCCTGGAAGCAACCCCTATAGCATGGCTCCTGCCAGCCCTCCAACAATTACTATCGAACTACACTTTTGCTACTACAGGAAACATTATTAAATATGTGGGAATTATTCATATTAGTATTCATATTTCATGTAATTACATGAAATCTGAATTAAAATGAAAGCTGGATTCAGTTGAATTTAGTTTTTCTTCTGCGCCTACTCACAGAGACCCACTTTGTGTAGAATGTTCCAACATGCCACTTAAGGACCAAGTTCCCCACTCTTTCAATTAGGCACGGCTATCCTAGAACCACATACTGCCCTTGACGAAGGTGCGCAGGTCTTTTCCAAGGAATCAATCCAAACGTTTTGTAGGTGTGATCCTTTCACTATATGAGCCTGTTCTGTAAGGAGAAAAGACAAAACAAAGGGAAGGTGAGGTAGAGGGGAAAAAAATAGGTGTGATGAAAAGAAAAGCAAGTTGGGTGCTTTACTCATTTTTGGCTCTGATCCCATCCAGCATTAGGTATAAAATGTGCCCCTTCCCAATGAATTATTCTTGTGAAAATTGACCCCAAAAGGTGTTGCTTAGTCACATATTATGTTTCATTGAATAAAAAGGACATCCGTCATTTTCTGCTCATCTTTTTTAGAATCCACTGCCTCTGTTGAATCTCTCCCTTCTGACTTTGTAGGTACCAATCCGGGAAGCTCTCCTGTTTCATTCTGACAATGAGTTGAATAACTTGGCTACGGAAAATTTTTTGAGTACGTAATGGTCCATTAGTGAAGTGATGGGTAGTCTATTGCCAGAGCACTGATTAAACTGTATTTAATTTAGCTATGGATTCAGGAAAGGTACTGAGAACATTTCTACTTTTACTAGCTCTCTGAAAATCAACTATTAGG